TAAGACACTATCTGAGATTCTAGAACTGGAGTTCCTGACATTTGTGAGTTGCCATGTGGGTGCTAGGAATTGAACTTGGGTCCTCTGGATTAAGAGTCAATTATAGTTTATGGAAATTTAATATAATGTGTAGAGGGAAAAGAAAATAATGTTTACCTACAGCCCAGTAGGGTCACTAATACCATTTTATATCCATTTTCTTCTATTTGCATTTTTAACATGGTGATATATGTATAATTTTACATTTTTCCTCTTGTTTGTGAATTATTTCGTTCTCATTTTCCTTTATTGTTCAAATTTAATACAGGCATTTTCAAATGTCTTTCATTTTATTTACATTCAATCATTTTATGTACTGAGATTCTTGTGTATTCATTTGTTTTTGACATGGTAAGATTGAGCTAATTTTTTTATGTCTAAAACTGGCCATATTTCAGATTTTAAAGATGGAATAATGGAGCCAGGTGTAATGGCCTGGCACATCCCTTTGGAGGCAGGTGCAGGTGGATGTCTGTGAATTGGAGACCAGCTTGGTCTACACAGTGAGTTCTGAGACAGAATGGCTACATAATGGAGAGAATCTGCTTTCAAAAACAAGGTAGAACGATGGGTCAAAGGGCATAAATGTCCTAAGAAAGTTCCCAGGCTTTTAAGAATATATTGCCAACAAATGCAAATGACCCATTATTTTCACATTATTATTGTTCATTTTTTACAAACCTTTAATAGAGAAAATATTTTTTATTAGTTTAGTCTGTTCAGTGGATTTTTTTTATATATCACTGGCACATTTATTGCCAGTATTTCCCCAATTTCTTTGCTAGTGGGTTTCTGCTTTCGTTTTTATGGTCACCTGAAAGAATCTATGTAGGATTTGTTTATGTTTAGTTCTCCTTTTTGTTTTGTGTTTTGAGACAGGGTTTCTCTGTATAGTCCTGACTATCCTGGAATGCTCTGAAGGCCAGACTGGCTTTGAACTCAAAGACCTCTGCTTCCGAGCATATGCCACTGCCAACTGGCTTGTTCAGAAAGAGAAACAGATTAGTCTTATCTTCCAAGATTGGAGGAAGTGTCATTAATAAGGTGTATGCTTGTTATTACTTCCTGATAGATTTCCTTTATGTTAAGTGAGTTAGAAAAGGAACGTCTAAATGTCCCTGGCCATTGTTCATTTAAGCTGCTACTTCGAACATTTCCCCATTGTTAGAAGCTTTCTGCGGGTGCCCCGGCTAATGCAGAAGATAAGCACTGGCAGCATCCCTGTGCAGTATGCTAACATCTGGTTGCTATGCAGTAATAGCAGCAGCATTTGCTTACAGAGGAGGACACGGGAGCATGAAGGTTCACACAGCTGCCCCTTAGAGCCCAGGAGCTTTGGGGTGCCTGTGTCAGATAGAACAACTTGAACAAAATTCAGATCTGAGTTACTAATACTTAATGTTGATCATGGAGTGGCTAAATTAATAGTAAGAAATATCTCCCTGAAGCTGCCTTGTTTGCAAGAATGTGGAGAAAAGCTTTATTGTTTGAACAAGAATTATTTTATATCCTCTATCTCTTCAGTGCTTTGATCGAATCTGCCTTGCTCTAACAGATTGACCTCTCTTTTTAGGACACTGTTGATGCTTTGATTACTAAATTGCGCTCGGACACAAGAACAGAGACAGGAATTTTCGGTTATCAAAAGCTTCTAAAAGTATTCATTTGTATTTGGTTGAATAGAATAATTTGTTGACTGTTTAATGAGCAGGAAAAGAAAAACTATTTAATTTTCTTGCTGTCTGCCAAGAAAATTAAACAGACTTCAAAGCTTTGCACTGATAGTTAATGGCATTGATGCAAGCTGTTGTTTTAATTAATACAGCTGGCTGATTCTTCAGCCCAGTCAGCTACAACTGTGAAGTTGTAAAATGAGGTAACAAAACCAATGGTACAGCAGAGTTCATGCCTCTCTAGAGAAAATAGTTCATTACTCTGACAGAAACTATTGCTTAGGGAGCTCTCTTCCCATCTTGAAAAACACGTGAAATTTGTAGTTCTTCATTTAAATATACTCTTTTAGTGATTTACCGCAGCCAGAGGAGAGAGGCTGCCAGCTCTGTTAACCCTGATAAACACATAATTTGAGATTGAATCCCTTATAGTAAAGTTATATGAGAGAAAAATAGCCATACAGACATCCTAGAGCCATTATCTCCAGGCTTGAAATAAATCAGATTGACTCTAAAATAATTCTGGTGGTGTGCTGGCTAGTTTTATGTCAACTTGACACAAGCTAGAGTCTTCAGAGAGGAGGGAGCCTCAATTGAGAAAATGTCCACATAAGATTGGTCCGTAGGCAAGACCCAGTCCCTTGTGGTGTCATCTCTGAACAGGTAGCCCTGGGTTCTTTAACAAAGCGGGCTGAGCAAGCCAGTAAGCAGCATCCCTCCATGGCTCTGCCTCAGCCCCTGCTTCCAGGTTCCTGCCCTGTTTGTTCTGACTTCTTGTGATGGTGAACAGTGCTGTGGAAGTGTAAGCCGAATAAACCCTTTCCTCTTCAAGTTGCTTTGGTCATGGTGTTTCATCACCACAATAGTAACCCATACTAAGACTGGTAGTTAAGGAATTATTTTTCTAATAAAATAGGCACTGCAGCTCCTGGCAGTGGTGCGTATGTCGTTTGACTAGTCCTTTTCATCAATCAGTGTTGCCTCTGCAATGCTGGTCACCAACAGGAGGTTCATGGAGATTACTAAGCTGGTAATTTTGCTGTAGGATACTCTTTTCTTTCTCTTACTGAAGGTGAAACAATAAATGAACAAGGTTTTTTTTGTTTGGTTGGTTTTTGGTTTTTTTGCTCCTGGCGGGGGGAGGATGAGTTATGACTCAAGATATTTGCATTAATGAGACAAATGGTGTGTTGCTTCATGTTTACTGTGATGGGATCCTGTTATGGCCCTTTTTAAAGTATTTGTACAACCCTTGACCAAAACAACTTACAGAAGGAAGGGTTTATTTGGGTTTATAGTTCCAGAGGGCTGGGTCCATCACTTTAGCAGGGAGGCATGGCACCAGGAAGCTGTGATGTCTGGAGCAGCAAGCCAAGAGAGCAAACTGGAAATGACACATGGCTTTTGAAACTTCAGAGCCTACCCCCAGTGACATACTTTCCCCAGCAAGGCCACACCTCCTGAATCTATCCAAACAGTGCACCAACTAGGGATAAAGTCTTAAAACATCTAAGTTTTTTTTTTGTTGTTGTTGTTTTTTTTTTTTTAGACAGGGTTTCTCTGTGTAGACCAGGTTGGCCTTGCATTCTCAGAGATCTGCCTTCCTCTTCCTCCCAAGTGATGGGATTAAAGGTGTGCACCACCAAGCCAGGCTCTAAATTCTTGACATGGCTACACGTGTCAGGAATATGTCAGGACAATTACCAGCTCAGCTGTCTAAAGGGGCTCCATTGCATCCATGAGGTAAAGCCGATGAAGCGGCAGTGTCCAGTTCTCTAGTGTCTTGTTTTCAACACGAAAGTAGGTGATGTTTACTGTCAGAATAAATAACCCTTTATATTGGAAAAACTGAAGCAGCTAGGCGTAGTGGAACACGCCTTTTATCCAAGCATTCAAGAGGCAGAGGCTGTGAGTTCCCAGCTAGCCTGGTCTACATAGCAAGTTCTGGGACAGCCAGAGCTACATAGTGAGACCCTGTCTTGTGGGGGTGGGGGCCATGGGGACAACACTGAACTTTGTGAAGCACTGACTATTTCCTATTCTCTATTTTGTTATGTACGCTTACAAATTATCTTTAGACCTGTTTATGGCTCTTGTTTTCCTCACAGTGGCAGGGTGCTCCTGATGCTGCAAAAGGCTGTGTAGCTACTTCCTAATGAGATGCACAAGGTGGACTGATCAGTGTGCTGCTGTGTATTATCAGTGACTGTTTGGACAGTGTAATTCTCCCATCCCTCCCTCCCCATTAACTAGCTGTATGCAGGGTCTCAGATAAACCATTCCTCACCTTTGCTCTTTGGTTTTCAATCTGTATACCAAGAGAGGATGCTTTCTTACATTGTCATCCAGTCTTTCACTCAGTCCTCCTGCCCCAGCCTCCACAGTACAGGTTACAAACATACACCACCACATCTGGCTTCTGTGAGCCTCCTCTACCTCCTTATTTTTCCTTTGTGAGACTTTCATATATGAGCTACATGATGCCCTTCTCCCTTGAACTCCTCCTGTGTTCCACTCTTGTAAATGTTTTAAAAATTATTTTATTCCATATGCATGGGTGTTCTGTCTGCACAGATGTGTATCTGGGACCACATATGTGCCTGCTGCCTACAGAAGCTGGAAAAGGGCATCAGATCCTCTTGGAACTGGGGTTACAGACCATTGTTGATTTGCCATATGGGTGTTGGGAATCAAACCTGGGTCCTGGAGAACCGTCTTTCCAGCCCATGATCATTCTTGTACAAGTTTCTTCGTTTCTCTTTGGTAACTTCCAGAAAAGGGAATGCTGGTTAAGCTTGTCAAGAGACTGCCTTCATTTTATGCTCCCAGCAATAGATGAAGGTTTCAGTTACTTTATATCCTTGTCGTTATTTTGTGATGTGATTTTTTTTTCTAATTTTGGATGTTTTTAAATGGATATGAAAAGTCTCACATAAGTTTTTATTTGCATTTTCCTGGTAATTAAATGTGTGATCTCAAGAAACAAAAGAAGTCATGATCCTGTTGTGTTACCCAGGTTGTCTCAAACTCTGGGTCCAAGCAGTCTTCCTCCATCAGCCTCCTCAGGAGCCAGTGTGCCACACAACCACAAATATTTCTACTACGATTCCTCACAGTAGCAAAATTATAGTTATGAAACTACGATTGCTCACAGTAGCAAAATGATAGTTATGGAGTAGTAACAAAATTAATTTTATGGTTGGGGGTCACCAAGGACCTGTGTTAAGGGTCACGGCGCTAGAGAGGTTGAGGCCCACTCTTGTAACCGTTTCTTCTGTTGTCTTCCAGGAACGGCTGAAGCTGGTGACTGTGTTGGGTGCTGGTCTCCTCTGTGGAACTGCACTGGCGGTTATCGTGCCTGAAGGGGTGCATGCACTGTATGAAGAGGTTCTGGAGGGTGAGAGAAAGGCCTTACTTGAGGAATGCTGGTAGAGCAATTAGTGGAATTTCTCCTGGATACAGTTCATGTTTGTCCTTAAAAAGGTGTTTAAGAGATATCTTTAGGCACCTTAGACATTGAGCACATCCTTAGCAGTTTTTTGAATGCCATAATTCGTGAAGACTACTTAATAATCATTTGCAATAATGAGTGATTTCAGTCTTTTTAAGTGTAACAGTTCTTACTTTGTGTGCATGTGAGTATGTTATGTGTTAATATGTTTACACATGAGTATGGAAGCCAGAGGTTATGTTAGGTCTCTTCCTCTGTCTTTCTGAACCTTTCCTTCTTCTTACTACATTTACTTATTATTTTGTATGGGGTTGGGTACCCACATACTACAGTTCATGTGTGGAGGGCAGAGGACAGTTTGTGGATGTCAGTTCTCTTCTTCTACCGTGTAGGTCCTTAAGACTGAGTCAGGCTTGCTTGCAGTCATCTCTTCCCACTCTGCCATCTCATCATATCCTCAACCTTAAGACAAGGTCTCTGACTAAACCTGGAACTCACCAGTTTGGCTAGACTGTGTGGCCAAAGAGCTGCAAGGGATCCTCCTGCCTCTGCCTCCTCAGTGCCAGTAAAACAGGTACATAGCACCACATGGGTACTGGAGATTTGAACTCAGAGAGTTGAAATATATTTCCATGTTGCCCATATTCTGGAAGATATTACTGAACAGCTTTTTTTTTTTTGGTAGGTGAGTTTACTATCTGGGCCTGGTATCTTCATATTGGAAGGTGTGACCCAATTCCTGAGAAGAACCAGCTTGAGGGAAGAGAGATATTTTGGCTTAAGGTTTAAGAGGAACATGCCCATCATGGCAGGAAAAACTGGCTGCAGGAGTGACTCACAGCTATGGTGTCAGGAGTGTGGAGCAGCTGGTACATTGCATTGTCAATTAGGAAGTGGGGGGAGAGAGAGAGAGATTCAGACAGAGGTATATATAACCCATAAGGCTTGTACCAGCAAGCCATTTCTTCCAGTAAGGACCCACCTCTTGAAAAGTCTCATAACTTTCTAAAATAGCACCAGGGCTCAGAACCAAGTCTTCAAACACATGAGCCTATAGAGAACAAACTGTTACTTCCAACCATCACATCCTGGCCCTGGCCCTCAGAGGTTCATGATCATCTCATAATATAAAATATATTCAATTCGACTTCAAAAAGTCCCCATACTCTGCAGCTCCCAAACTATTTAAAAGACCTAAGGCAGTCTCTTTAACTGCGAGCCCCTGCAAAGTAAGGATCAAGTTACTTCTCTCCTATTTTACAGTGACACAGAGTAAACATTTGGAAGATAGTATGGAACAGTGGTTCTCAGCTTGAGTTGAACAACCCTTTCACAGGTGTTGCAGCTCAGATATCCTGCATATCAGATATTTACACTGATTCATAGCAGTAGCAAAATTACAGTTATAAAGTAGCAACAAAATAATTTTATGGATGGAGAGAACTATATTAAAGGGTCTCAGTGTTAGGAAGGTGTCTTATTTAAGGTTTCAATTGCTGTGAAGAGACACCTTTCCCATGGCAACTCTTACAAAGGAAAACATTTAACTAGTGGCTCACTTACAGTTCAGAGATTCAGTCCATTATCATCATGACAGGACATGGCAGCATGTAGGCAGACATGTTGCTAGAGAGGTAGTTGCTACATGTTGGTATGTAGGCAATAGGGAGTAGACTGAGACACTGGGTGATAGCTTGAGCATAGGAAACTTCAAAGCCCACCCCACAGTGACACACTTCCTCCAACAAGGCCACACCTCCCAGTAGTATCACTCCCTATGAGATTACAGAAGGTTGAGAACCACTTTCCAAACTATGGAGAGATCAGATCAAAGCAAACTGGAAACCCAAACACCAAAGACTGCCATTCAGTGTCCAATGACTAGGACTCATGGTGGCATTTCATGTGCTCCAGTGGACTTATATAGCCCTGCCCCACAGCTCTGTCCCCTGTAGCTTTTGTGGCCTCTCCTGTGCTGGCTCCACTCAGTGCTGCAACTTTTGGCAGAAGATGGTTTGTGTTCCTAGTACCTGTGACACCCTGTTGCAACTTAGGCTTTACCCTCATAGCTTCATGCACAGCCCACCCAGGGAATTGGGTCTTGTCTCACATTGCTTGGAATTAGAGGATTTCTGGGACCTTGGTACAAACCTTGGTCAAATAAAATAAATATTTAAAAACAAAATTAGAGCCAGTCATGGTTGTATATATGTGTAACCCTTGTACTGGGAGGGGAGATGTTGGAGAGTAGAGCATAGATAGGTAAGCTAATCCTGGGAGCTTGCCAGCCAGCCATTGTAGCCAAAATAGCAAGCTCCAAGCTCAGTGAGAGACCCTGACTCCAAAAGTAACATGGTGGGCAAACAAGGTGGAGGGAGAGAACTGACTCCCTCACGTTGTCCTCTGGCACACATGCATTAACATCCCCCTCCCCTGCCTACAAATAAGTAAATACAGAAAATACAGTGGAAAGCCATAGAGGAAGATACCTGATATCTACCTCTGGCCTCTACATGCATACACACGGCTGATTACATGCAAAGATTTTTGGCTTTTGTTGTGGGGGTGATCAGTCTTTTTTTTTTTTATTGGATTTAAGACCTTCTACAGGAGATGGAACCTATATTTGATACTGCTAGAGTGCCCAAGAACCTGAGACTAGACAGGGAAGCTTACTCTTACCCTGCTAAAGGATCATAGCAATAAAGTGACTTGTAATGATATATTGCTATATCCACAGTGTTCAAAGCAGGCAAATCCCAGCAGTGAAAAGGGGAAGTGGACACAAAGTCCCACCTCTACCCCTAGCCAAGAAGCTGTTTGCAATTGAAACCTCCTGGGACAGGGACAATTACTTTTCTCCAATGGAAACTTAGTATATCAACCATACTCCAAAGCAGGCACCATCCCCCGGAGTAGTTGACTAACATAAAATAGACCCTGTGGGTTTTTTGTGTGTGCTTTTGTTTTGCTTGAGTATTTTTTTTTTCTTAATTTTCTCCTCTTTTAGTCTGTTTTGATTGTTGGGTGTTTTGGGTTTTGTTTTTGTTTTGTTTAGAAAGAAAGAATATAAAGTTGAGTGAGTAGGGAAGAGGGGAGGACCCTGGGAGGAGTTGCAGGAGTGGAAAGAATATAATCAAAAGACATTATATAGTTTTTTTTAAAAAGCCAGACATCAGTGGCTCACACCTTTAATCCCAGCACTCTGGAGGTTGAGGCAGGCAGATCTTTGTGAGTTTGAGGCCAGCCTGGTCTACAGAGCTAGTTCTGGGACAGGCTCCAAAGTAATACAGAGAAACCCTGTCTGGAAAAACAAAACAAAACAAACAAACAAAAAAATTAAATAAAAGAACAGTTGGTCTTTAAGCATTTATGTTTGAAGTACCAAACATGTGACAATATATCAATTAGGAATATCCTTGGTTTGGTTGGGTGTTAGTGTCCCAACCACCTTGATGATCTAGAAGTAAATTTAAATGAAAGGATATGCCTTTTCAATGGCTCGTGACTGTATGTGTGTCTGTGTGTGTTCACTAATATTTTTACAAAAGTTAAATTTTCTATCCTGTTAGCTTTTTATTTGCAAATTTTGTATGAGCATCGGTGTAAAGGTGTGAATTTGAGCACAGTTGCTTTCATTGCCAATGCCCTGCCTCCACCTGGTCTCAGCAGACTGAAGCTCCCTGTGGTTTCTGAGGACACTGGCATGAGACTTAGGTTTGGGGCCCTTTGAAATGTAACTACATTCTTCCATGGTGATTTGCTTCCATGTCCAGGAGTTTGAGTTGATAGGCAGTGAGAAGGTCTGCATGCCAAAAGCAGAAGGCATTTGGGAATCCTTTCATTACAGCCTTTAACTTAAGGAGTTAATGGATGCCTCGATTTCAATATATGAATTAGATGTCTTTGCAGTAAATTAAGTAGCACTTAAAACACAAATGGACGCTGTTACATTTTGTGGTTTGTTTGCTCCAGGAAAACACCACCACGCCAGTGAAACCAAGCAGAATGTGATTGCATCAGACAAAGCAGCAGAAATATCAGTTGTCCATGAACATGAGCACAGCCACGACCACACACAGCTGCACGCCTACATAGGTGTGTCCCTTGTACTGGGCTTCGTTTTCATGTTGTTAGTGGACCAGTTTGGCAGCTCCCATGTTCATTCCACTGACGGTGAGTAGCTTTCTGGGCTGTGTGGCCACTTTTCAATGTGGAAATTTACAAGCAACTGAATGATTCGGTCTACACCAATGGCCTTACTTATTGCCAAACTTCTGTTTTCCTCAGGTGTTGTGGGGCATTTTATTCCGTTGGGGGAGCTAGTGAGTTGTGCCTGGCACAACTGTTTATTGATATGTCAACCCTGCTGGGTTTAAAGCAGTTACATTTGGGTGTGAGTCTAGGCTTTAAGTCCTTAATCTGTTTTGTGCTGTGGAACCCTTAGGCAGTCTAAATTCTGTAGCCCACTGACTGGAATGTTGGTCTTTATAAACTTAGTACATAGCACTACAGAGCATTGGAGGCTATCTTCATCTACATACTGAGTTCCAGACCAGCCAGGGGATACACAGTGAGACACTATCTAGAAGCCAACCAACTAACAAAACTCCAAACCAAGTAACCAAACAAACAAAAGCACTTGATAGTGAGTAAATTCTGATCTGCTTATTAGATACAGGGAGGAAAGATATAAACAAAGAAGTCCAACAGTGCTTTGACCAGATGATCAAGATCAGTGTCACCAGCAGTCTGCTTTTGGTGTAGCAGGAAGCCATCAGTCCAGCCTCCTGTGGCTACCTATAAACTATAAACTGGACAAAATGTTAGCACTACCATCTAAAGACAGCAGAGAATCTCTAGGCACACTCTGAGGAATATAACATTTGGAACAGAGATACCTAGCTTTACAGGGGTTGGTAATTGGCATCCTTGGGGGCAACTAAAATTGTGATAGGATCTCAGTCTTCCCAAGTGTCATTATGTGTCTGTAGTCCTAGCACTTGGGAGGTGAGGTCAGGAGGATCAAGGCCTGCTTCCACTACATAGCAAGTTTGAAGCCAGCCTGAACTTCTTCAGACCTTGTCTCAGAAAGCTCCCAGTGTTTCTGGGACACAACTCGGGACAACCAGAGCCCTAAAAAGAAGGGATAATTCTAGTGTTGTAGGGTTTATCCACCAGAGAAGACTACTCAGATATGGGTTTAAGCAAGGCTAGTATGTTTAGAGACATTCCCAGAGCTATAGGCTTTGATGGATTAGGATTTTGTTCTTGTTTTGGCTTGTGGCTGCTTTTGCTGGGAAGCTGAGGCAGGGGGATTTTGAGTTCAGGGCCAACCAGGGCTGCACAGTGAAACTCCAGCTCTTAGTAACAATGATAATAATAATGAACGGACCATCTTCAGACAGATGTTTCTGTGCTTTTTGTCCTACTACTTAGTGATCCTTTCTCATTCTCATATAGATCCAGAAACAGCAAGGCCTAGCAGTTCCAAAATCACTACCACACTGGGACTGGTTGTCCATGCTGCAGGTAAGTTGAGATTTCAGTGAGCCGCTCCACACTAAATGCCCTTGGGAGGTTGCTGAACAAAGCCCTCTAGCTCAAGCACAAGTTCTTTTATGTCTATGTCAAGTTTACAAGCTAAGAACAATTTCTGTATTTTTACTACCTAAACACAAAGCATAAGTGGGCATGGGGGCACACACCTGTAATCCAAGCACCCAGGAAGCGGAGGCAGTAGGATCCAGAGTTCAAAACCAACTTGAGCTACTTAGTGAGTTCAGGGTTAGCCTGAGGTATATATCCAGACCCTGTCCAAAAGAGTCCGGGCTGTAGCTCAGTGGTAAAGCATCTGTCTAGCGTGTGAAAGGCCTGTGTTCAATCCTCAGCACCACCAAACAGAAAGGATATTTCATATCATTGGAAAAATATGCTATTTAAAGTAATAATGCTGTTTTGGAAGACAGCTATACCCATATGTTTATATATCACCTGTGGCTTGTTTTGTATAGTAGTGGCAGAGATGAATAGTTAGGAGAGGCCAAGTAACCTGCAAAGCTCAGATATTTCATGGCAGAGCTTTAAGAAGTTTGCTGACCTCTGCCCTAAGATCTGTCTGGAAAAGAGCCTAGGCACTTGAGCATCAACCAGCCCTGCTGCCCAGTGTCAGCTGAGGTGGTAAGCAGAAGCCTCAGCACTGCTGGTGGGCCTTGGCTTTAGCACCACAACCCAAACCTAGACCTGATGGTGGGATTCTGTCAGAACCAAATAAAGGTGTATGAAAAGTAGCTTACTCCTAGCCTGCTGTTCTTGCTTCTAACAAAATTCACCCACATCACACTCTACAGGCAGTGGGACCTGCCTTTAGAATGGAGTCAATAAATGTGGCAGACTAAAGTCTCATGCAAAAGCCAACTTTCTTCAGAGCCCTAGACAATTTTACGCTGAGGGTTAAGAAAGGTCACATGGTGCTGAAGAGATGCCTCAGTGGTTTAGAGCATGTAATGCTCTTCCAGAGGATCTGGGTTCAATTCCCAGCACTCAGATCAGGCAACTACCTCTAACTCAAACTCTGAGGGGGCCTGACGCTGTTGCCCTACATGAGTGCCTGTACACACTTACACATATACAAAAGTTCTCATGAGTTCAAGCCACACGTAGCAAAGACATGTCCACAGAGACATATAAAGGATAAACATGTAATTGAATAGCAACAACAAGCAATGATGCGGAATCTGAAGTAAACTCACTCCTATCCACTACATCTGGAAAGAGAAAGGAAACGTCATTCCAAGGACAATTCCGTGTTTTGAACAAGTCAGAAGACTCTTGTCATGTTTTCTTGGAGTGTTCTCACTTTACTCAGAATTCTCCTCATACAACTCCAGTCCTAAACCCTGTTCTGACACACCCATTCAGTCAAAGTCCCTGTCCTGGCTAGTTTTATGTCAACTTGACATAGCTAGAATTATCTGAATGGAGGGAACCTCAATTGATAAAATGCCTCCGTAAGATCAGGCTGTAGGGCATTTTCTTAATTAGTGATTGATGGGGGAGGGCCCATGAATGGTGCAGTCTTTTGACTGGTGGTCCTGGGTTCTGTAAGAAATCAGGTCAAGCAAGCCATGAGGAGCAAACCAGTAAGCAGCTCCTCCCATCCCCATGGGCCCCTGCTTCAGCTCCTGCCTCCAGTTTCTTGTCCTATTTGAGTTCCACTGCTGACTAACTTTGATGATGAACAGTGATATTGGAAGTGTAAGCTGAATAAAACCCTTTCTCTGCAAGTTGCTTTGGTCATGGTGTTTTGTCACAGCAATAGTAACCCAAATAAAGACAGCCCCCATCATGTGCGACTCTTCTGTATTGAGGCCTCAAATCTTGGAGACAGAAATGCCCCATTTGAAATTCTTTAGCACTATTACAGTTTGACTCATCAATGGATCTTTGCATTTCATACTTTTTTAACAATAAAAATAGCTAACATACGGACTACTCAGGGCCAGATGCTGAGCTCTTTGCATATATTTTTTTCCTTTTCAGCCCTTACAAACCCCTAAAAATGCATGTTTTATTGACCCCATCTGAAAGATGAAGTCCAGCTCTGCCTGGCTTTGAGACCCATGCACTCGGCTCTGCACTGCCATCCTTCATAGCATCTTCTGTTTCCTTGTCTCCAAATTTAGCGGATGGTGTAGCTTTGGGAGCAGCAGCTTCTACTTCACAGACTAGTGTCCAGCTAATTGTGTTTGTGGCAATAATGCTACACAAGGTAAGCCAAGATTGGATATTGAACATATTTGTAATTAAAAGTTGTCTTGGTCCTTGAAGCATTTCTGAAATGTGATTTTTTTTTTTTTTTTTTGCTTTTAGAAATGTATTTGTGTGTGTACATTGGGCATACATGTATCACTGTTAGCACGAGAAGGTGAGAGGACAACTTTGTAAAGTTGGCTTCCTCCTTTTACTTTTACCTGGGTCCTGAAGTTTGGACTCAGTTTTCAAGGCTTTCACAGCAAGCACTTGACCCATTGAGGCATCTTGATAGCACCTCCCCCTATTTTTAAGTTTCTAATTGCTATCTATTTAGGAAAATTAAATATATTTGTTTATAACTAATTTTTTTTTTTTACTTTTATTTTCTTAAATTATTTGAAGGGCTTTATTTTTTTGGTATACACAAATGAATTCTTATTGATTTCCACTTTTAAAGATTTATTTTATTTTGTATTTTATGTATATGAGTGTTCTGTCTATATGTACTCTGCATGCCAGAAGAGGGAACATGATCCCGTTGTCACTGGTTTGAGCTACCATGTTGTCACTGGGAATTGAACTCAGGACCTTTGGAAGGGCAGCCAGTGCTCTTAACCACGGAGCCACCTGTCCAGCCCTCAATTTCTATTTTTTGTAGAAATGTGATCACATAGCTGACAAGATGGCTCAGTGGGTAAAAGTGCTTGCTAAGCAAGTTTGACAAATCAAGTTCCTAAAAGTCCTCTGACCACTACACACACACACACACACACACACACACACACACACACACACACACACACACTGTGGCTACATTTTCACATAAAATAATGATAAGAATTTAAAAACTCAATAAGTTTCTGTACAGTACTACCAAGAAATACATATATATGTATATTTATATATAAACATATATGTGTGTGTGTGTGTATACATACATACATATATGAGATTTTCTTTGTGAGAACATTAATTCCTAAAAGGCAAGGCTTACCCTTGATGGGATGCCTAGGTTTCTGTTGTTAGAGTTCCTATTGAGATTACACCACATGCATTTCTTAATATGGAAGCCAGCCTTTTGTCGAGTGATAATAGGGCTACTTTGTCATTTCCAGGCTCCAGCAGCATTTGGGCTGGTTTCCTTCCTGATGCATGCTGGCCTCGAACGGAATCGAATTAGAAAGCACTTGCTGGTATTTGCATTGGCAGCACCAGCCATGTCCATGCTGACATACTTAGGACTAAGTAAGGTAAGTATGGGCATCCCTTACTACATGGTCATGTATGTAGTTCTCCTCATAGGTGGTCAGCCTGCATAGGACACAGAGCTATAACTGTGACTCAACACAAAACCATAAACTGACTGAAACATGATGTAATTTGTTTTATCTTATCTAATTTTATTTATTGCTAACTCAATTGTATGGTTGTCTAGCATGAATGTTGTAGATGATGGCATTATGTCACAGTATCAAAAGGCTCAACAAACCTGAATTTTTGATATACAGTATTTTCTCAAACTAAGACAAAAGTTGAGAATAAAAATCTGTATAAGAGGAAAGCACATGAGACTAGGAAGATTGAGCCAGGGGAGGAATAGAAGAGAGAAAGGAGGAATGGGGGAGACCGAGACCATAAAAAAAGGGAGCCATTATAGGTTTGAAGAGAAAACTGAACCTAGAGAAAAGTCCAGAGACCTACAAGACTGACCCCAACTAACAATTTGAGCAACAGTGGAAAGGCTACCATAAATGCCCTTCCCTGATAATGAGATGGACGACTAACTTATCCACCATCATGGAGCCCACATCTAGTAGCTGATGGAAACAGAAGCAGACACCCACAGCTAAACACTGAGCCGAATTGGAATCCAGATGAAGAGAGGGAGGACAAGACCAGGCTGCAGAAACCCCCAGAGACAGCTGACCTGAACAAGGAGGAGCCAACGGGCCCCCCAGACTGATAGCTGGGAATCCAGCATGGGACTGACTCAGACCCCCTGAGCATGGGTCTCAGCTAGAAGGCCTGGGCAGTCTAAGGGACCTCAGACAGTGGAACCGGGATGTGTCCCTGGTGTACAAAAGGATACTCCCTTAACCTAGAGACAGGAGAGAAGGCCTAGTCCCTACTCCAAATGACTTGACAGATTTAGATGACTCCTCCTGGAGGGCATCACCCCACATGTGGAGTGGGGGGGGGAATGGGAGGGAGGGGTGGTGGTGGGACCATGAGAAGGGTGGGAGAGAGGAAAAGAGGGAGGGAGAGGGGATTGGGATCGATATGTAAAGTAATAAAAAAAAAAAAACTGTATATGATAGATGCCTTAATTCCAAGTTAGTCCTTTTTATGAATTTAATATTTTATTCATATAAGTGGGAAACTTTGATAACAGTTCTAAGAATATTTACATAAATATATAGTAGAATTACAGTATTTAAAATAGTGTCACTTAACCAGCCATGCTTATTTTGTTTGGCAGGTAAATACTAAATCAGAACCATCCAGCATTTAATGCTGAGGCAGGCACAGAAGGCACGCAAGACAGGCTTTCAGTGGCCTGCAGTAGTGTAGAGCTGGGACAAAGATGGCTGAAGGCAATAGAGAGATAGGTGGGATTGGCAGGCAGAGAAATTAAGTAGGAGGAGGAATCTTGGCTGGGGGAGAAGAGAGAACAAGGGAGAAATAGAGGGAGATGCCCTGAGTTAGCCAGGCAGCTGCCAGGCAGCCAGTCAGAAGCAGCAGGAAAAATAGGACATACAGAATGAAAGAAAGGTAAAAAGCCTCAAGGCAAAAACATAGACAAAGAGAAACAGGTTAAATTTAAGTTTTAGGAGCTAGTGGGACAAGCATAAGATAAGGCTAAGCATTCATAATTATTAAGTCTCCATGTCATGATTTGGGGACTGGTGGTCCTAGAAAGCCTACTACAAATGAATGAGATGTTTTAAGTGCTGTGAAGATAGCTATTGTCTTTTTTGTTTGTTTTTGTTATTTTGACAGTGTTTCTCTGTGTAGCCCTGACTGTCCTAGAACTCACAGTGTAGACCAGGCTGGCCTCAAACTCAGAAAATCCCCTGCCTCTGTTGCATCTTGATTAGTCTGTTTCTCAAGCACCTGACCTGCTACACAGAGGATACTTGTTAATTATTAGAATAAGTGAATTATGCTTAAAATTCTGAAATTCCATCTCAGAGGTATCAGTGAAACCTCCCAACCAAGCAACACTTTGAAAAGCAATTGTAGTTAATATAGCTTTAATTTCAAAATGGTAAGAGTAAATTTTAAATATTCTCCCTGAAAAAAACAAACATTTGAAGTGATAGATGTTAACTAGCTTGATTTCATTATTTCATTTTTTTTCTAAAATCATAGTGTCTGTATAATGAAACCTGAATTTCAACTAAATTTTAAAAGCTGTAATTGTATGTTGTCACTGGTGTTCTTAGACCTTTACATGCCACCTCTCCATAAATGACAGAATTCCAATCTCAAGATGCCTACATGTACCAAGCAGCAGCAGGTATAAATACTCAGGGTTACTTGGGACGTGCTCCTGTCTCTGGCTTTGATGTGACTTTTCCCCTTGATGTCTCTTCTAATTCACAGAGCAGTAAAGAAGCCCTTTCAGAGGTCAATGCCACAGGAGTGGCCATGCTTTTCTCTGCCGGGACATTTCTTTATGTTGCCACCGTCCATGTCCTCCCTGAGGTGGGCGGAATGGGACACAGCCACAAACCTGATAGCACTGGAGGGAGAGGCCTCAGCCGCCTTGAAGTGGCAGCCCTGGTTCTGGGTTGCCTCACCCCACTCTTCCTATCGATAGGACACCAGCATTAACCGCTAAGATTCCAGCCTCAGTCCACGGCCATTGCCATCCAGGAAAAAGAGCTGGCGTGTGGCGCCCCTCGCTTCCTAGTTCTCGACTCACCCTGCCCATCTCCACTTGTGTCCTAGAGTCCGGGGAGACGAGAGTCAATCGTGGAGAAGAGAAACAGCGTGCAGCAGGAACACTGTAATCACACAGACTTCGTGTTGTCCTTAAAGGGACTTTGACATACTGAGTTTTGATGTTTCTCTTAACCCTATTCTCAGGGAAGATGGAGTTTAGTTTTAAAGAAAAGTGGAGAACTTCATACAGTGAAATAGTAATTATGAAAACACAGTGTTCTGTAATTAAGCTAAAGGTTTTTTCCCCCTTAGTTAGAGGCTCTACCACTTTACCCATTGGTTTTTAACATGGTTCTCACCGTGTAAGACTGCTGCGTTAGCTTCTGTGCCACATGCCTTGAGAGAAGGTGACAATGCTCAATCAACCCTCTTAGATGCTAACGGTGATGGCGACTAATTTGAGGTTAGAGTAAGGAAAATAAGGACAGTAGACACAAGCTGACCTCTACCGAAAGAGGTATCTATCAAGAGACGTCTAGAGTCTTGGACAACTCCTTTGCACGTGCCTCCCTAAATAGAGCCTGCCCTTCTTTCCAGTAGAGCAGTAGCGATGGGGCCGGCCTGTGAAGAGGGGTCTGGTGTCTGATAGCATTTTCTCAAGTACCCTTTGCAAGGGACCTGTCTGCAGCACATTCTTCCAGCGGAGCCAGATGCTGTTCAGGCACAGGCTTTCCTTCTACAACAGTATGATCACAGTGAAATTAAGGGATGTTAAATTTTCTGGGAATTTGGGTAGTAACTGACATCTTTGTAGTAACCTTTTGTAAAGTAACACAATTACAAAGTATGTTGTCCTTTTCTGCTAAGTCAGTGGCTCTCAACCTTCCTAATGCTGTGACCCTTTACTACAGTTCCTCATGTTATGGTGACCCCCAACCATACAATTATTTTCATTGCTACTTCATGACTGTAATTTTGCTACTGCTGTAACTGTAATGTAAATATCGGATATGCAGCCCCTGTGGGGGTCACAACCCACTGCTTGAGAACTGCTGTTCTAAGTAATTCTCTTAGCCGCCAGCAGTCTGTCCCGAGTGGAGGATGTTTGTGTGGGCTCACTAGCTCCCGTGCAGGAGGGAGCAGGAGGGGCAGAAGGGAATGTCTGCTGCTGGCCTCAAGCTCCTTGCAATCATGTCTGTGTCCTCCTCTCCCCATGCTGTGCTCTGGCCCGCCCCTCCACACTGCCCACGGCCTGCTGATGGCGGAGCTTCCGAGAGATGACTTTCCATCAGGACAGCCAGTTAGCCTTGTGTCAAATACAGCTTTATCAAGCCCTTAAGAAAGTCACCTCCTCATGTGTGATTGACACATCACTAGTGCTCTGATAATTTAAGCAGTTGAGACAGCAAAAGTATTCAACAAAGGTAATTTTTCCATGTTTGCCAAAATCTGCCTAAATCCTGTTTTGTCAGATAAGTGTATAATACTGTATTAATTTATATTTTCTGTACCATTTCAAGAACACTTTACATAAAGACAGAGCCAAGACTAGTTTCCTCAGAGCAGTGGGTGCAGTCATTTGTATTTTTCTATGACACCTGTGCCTGCATGTCTGTGGTTTCCTTTATTTCTCAGTGTCACTGCGTCAGCAGGTGTGGAAGTAAACTGTGGCGCCCTCTGCTGGCTGCGGTGAGGAACAAACGTAGCAGAATGGGTGCGGTTTTGTGTGGAGGCTGGTAGCCATTGCATCCCAGGCTAACCTGAGAAGGCGCGCAGTGTCTGGGTGACTCACCCCTGGTTAGGCACAAACAGCTGTCTCGGCAAAGGTTTGGTCTCATCAAGCCCTTCTAAAGCACAGCTGTCGTGATTGTTTCTAGAAACTTAGTGTGTCAAGTAGACAGCCAATGTCTGTGTCTCATTTGGTGTGGGTAGAAGAAACTTCTGCCGCCTTACTGCGTGCAGTGGTCAGGGATTGTTGAGCTACCAGGGTCTCTTTCATAAGCAGTGCCTTGGTGTCTCGCTTATAAGCTCGGCTAGAATATCTTGCTGAGTAGAGCCTTGGACTCTGGCAAGGACAGAACCATCAAACTTATAAATTTGTGCCCCCCCCTCTGCCCCACCCCAGGCCTCAGTAGTAAAGAGCGTAGTAATGAGCTTTCCAAAGCTGGGGCCTTGCCGAGGCCCTGAGCTGCTGCCTGGGGACTGCTCATCCCTTCCCTGGTCAGCAAGCTCAAATAGCCATATGAATCTTAGTGGGGCTCAAATGCATTTTAGGCAGCAGGAACCATGCTGCAGGGCAGGAGACTGAGAGGTCGCGCACGCACGTGGCAGGCAGTGACCTCGGAGAGGCCACCTGATGTTCGCTCTCCAACGCGTCTCAGTTGTTTCCCTCCTCAAAACTCCCTACGGAGGTGTGAATGCCTTAATGCGGTAACACATTTGAACTCATTAGTGATACTTCAGCCGCTGCCATGATTACCAGTGAAACTATGGGCTACCAAAGAAGTAATTGATAAGCATGGGCCATCCTTCCTCATAACCAAAGCAGTCTTAATTGCAATTGGAGCCCTTTTCTCTGGGAGACTATAGATAGAGACTCCAAGAACGCTCTTCAAAGGTAAATTTAAGTTGAAAATACTGATGCACTCTCGTCGCTGCTCCCCCCCCCCCCAGTGTCAGTGGGGCAGAGCAGCGGTGTTCCTGTTTGATTCTGCTTTCCTGTGTGGACTGTTGCCAGCTTGTGTCTTACAGGCAGACGTTGTGGCCTGGGATGCCAGCGGTTGGGATGCCAGTACTGCCCACCGAGGCAGGGCATTCTCCCCATTTTCACCTTGTCACCCAAACTACTCAATTAAAGACACCGAGTCAGCCTGCTCTGGGGTTTTGGATCATTAGAAAAAAGAAAGGGAGCGCCATTCGGAAGTGTCATTTCCAAGGGTCAGAGCTAGGAGGAAACACCAGCAACAGAGTGTGTTAAGCCCTGAAACGCATGGCTGTGAAGTTCTGAACATGGGAACTGTATGCCAACAGCACAAACCTAAAATGCTGGCCTTTGGGCCAGAGCCCCAGACTGTTGCAGCACAGGGCGATGCCCTTGGCAGCCATTCATTCTACCAGAGTCCATGCAGCAGCAGATCTCTGCTCAGTACTGAAGGGGCCTTGCCCCTGAAGAGCGCGGCTGGAGACACTATACAACAGCAGCCTTTTTGTACTTGAGACATTGCAGTTCAGCTCAGGAGACCTGAAGGTGTGTGGCTGGTGGAGGAGGACAGGCAGACATGTACTTCTTTAGGTGCGCTCAGTCCAACACAGCTGCTAAGCACAGAGACTGGCCTTGCTCTTGTCTGGTGGTATCTTCCTGTAAGCTGGGAGTCTGATGGGGTGGTAACACCACAGTTCTGATTTGGTGGCCTGAACGGTGATTTCAAACGTCCCTTTCTCTGAATCCTTTGTACACATAAACTCATTCCATGGATGGCTGCCTTATAATTTTGTGTCTCTCCACTTTAATTGTGAATGGTTTAAAAATTGCTGTTTTTTGATTTGTTTTATGATATTAAATTTTTATTAGTGCATACCTTAGGTGAATGGCTTTTTATTTATACATTGGCAATATCTGTGATTGGCAACCAGATCTGAGACAGATTTGAACATCAAAACGTGGACAATCAGGATGGCTCAGCTGATAAAGGCAACTGCTGACAAGCCTAATGACCTGGGTTCAACCCCTGAGACCCGCATGGTGGAAGGAGAGACCTGACTCCTACGAGTTGACCTATGATCTCCACACCTGTACTATGGCTCGTGTGCCCCACCCCCATACAGACAAAATGTGATTTAAACATTTGGAGGTAAAGGTAGGTTGTAAAGGACAGAAGGAAGGTACCTTTTAGAAGAGGGGAGGGAAATGAAGGACCCAGTAAGCCACTGTTCTAAAAGACAAGTCCTGTGATGACCACCTCCTCCCTTGCTGCTCATTACTGATAAAATTTGTAAAAGTAGCTTTTCCAAAAGAAAGAAGCAGGCAAGTGGGTTATCGTCCACTCCTTCCAAAGGTCAGGGCTGCATGTGAGCACATAAATGTTAGAATCAGTTGTGTCTGCAAAGAGATACTTCATTAGAAGCGCTGCCTCATTAGAAGCACGGACATGCCTCATTGTGAGGGCAGAGGACAACTTTCATGAGTTTCTTTCCTTCCCTGGGTTGGTTTGAACCTGGGCTGCCAGGCTTGCTTGACAAGCCACAAACACCTTTATCCACTGAGGCATCTCACTGGCACATTCTTTTTTAATTTATTAATAACATGTATCTTTATTGTATTTATTAACGACATGCTTATGCGTATTGACTTAGCACTTTAGAGACAGAAGCACATGGACTGCCATGAGTTCAAAGTGGGCTAAGGAGTGCAACCCTGTCTCAACAAAACAAAACAAGCAGTGGGGTCTGGGGATGTAGCTTAGTTGGTAGAGTGCATGTTCAGTTTCCAATACTACAGATGGTGGTTGGTTGTGTGATCCTAGCACTCAGGAGGTGGAGGCGGGAGGGTTAGAAGGGCAAGGGCATTGTTCACTGCATAGTTCAAGGCCAGCCTGGTTTGCATGAGACCCCCCCCCCAACTCAAAAAATATATATTAGTGATATTAATTGCACAAAATGTTGGATTTCATTATGACATTTGCGTACATGAATGTAATATACTTGAATTATATTCATTCCCTTATTACCTTCTGTCGCTTTTCTCCTCTTTCTGCTGGCTCCTTCCCAAATAGTCTGCCTTCTGCTTTCATGGTTTCTTTGTTACCTTTTTCTTTTCTTTTTGGGCTTTTTTGTTTTTGTTTTTTGTTGTTGTGTTGTTTTGGGGTTTTTTGTTTTGTTTTTTGTTTTAGTTTTTTGATAGGTCCTACTGTGTAGTCCAAATTCATCTGAAACTCACTATATAGACCAGGCCCGCACTGAATGTAGAGGTCTGCCTGATTTGGAGAATAAAGGCATGTGCCCCACACAAGGTCTGGGGTGGGGTGGGTGATCTTCTTTAAAATTGACATCATAGCTGAGTGAGGTTAGATGTAGTATTTGTTGTGTGGCTTGTTTTCCATAGCAGAGTGATCTCCAGTTCCACCCATTTTCCTGCAAAGGACATAATTTTGTTCCTTGTGACCAAATAATACTCCACTGCGTATGCATACACATTTTCTGTAACTATTTATCTGTGGATAAGTGGCTAACCTGATTCCATAACTTGGTTCTCCTGCCTGTCACCTCAGCAAGCACGGGTGTGTATTCAGTATGCTCTCCTTACCGTGGGTACCCAGGAGAGGTGTAACCTCCATACGACTGACACCGTGGTTTAACTAGCTTGTGTTCCCACTGACAGTGTTTAAGGCTTCTTTGGCCCATCTTTGCCAGAATTTGCTGTTTTCTTGATGATGGTCATCTGACTGGCTGGGGTGAAATCTTGGTGTTTAGTCTTAGATTTCCCTGATATATACAGAAACCAGTTTTTCATGTCAAATATTTTTTCATGCATTTGTTTTCCATTTGCACAATCTTTGAAGATATATCTGTTCATTTGCTCGTTTGTTGGTTGCATTGTTTGTTGTTTGGATACTTTTTTCAGTTATTAATGTATATAATGGGTATATAGTATCCTCTGACAGTTGAATAGCTGATAAAGAGATTTTCTTCCATCTGTGGGCTGTCTCTTTATTCTGATTTTTGTTTTCAGAAGCTTTTTTTATTTGATGCAATCCTGTTTGTTGGTTCTTACTATTACTTCATGAGGTATTGGAAGCCTGTTCCAGAAGTTGTTGCCTGTGCTTGGAGTTCAGATTTCCCCATGCCCATGACAGGGTTTCTCTGTGTAGCCCTGGATGTCCTGGAACTTGCTTTATAAACGAGGCAAACTTGAAACCTGAGAGAGTTACCTGCGACTGCCTCTCAGGTGTGCAGCTCCACACCCAGCTCAGATACTTCCTAACAGATTGCTTCATTCGGCAGTGTAGTAATGACAGAAGTGCTATTGTACACCATTAGAGCCCCATAGGAATCTCAGGTGCTCTAGATTTCTGGTGAACATCTCTTCATTAAGAAAACCAGCTTGGGCTGGAAAATGGCTTGGGGGTTAAATGCACTGGCTTCTTTTCCAGAGGTCCTGAGTTCAGAGTCCAGAGTGCTAACCATTACACTGTGAAACCAATCTAGTCCTGAGTTCAATTCCCAGCAACCCATGGTGACTCACAAGCATCGCTAATGAGATCTGGCGCCCTCTTCTGGCCTGCAGGTGTATATATTCATTCTTCAAAAAAAGGGAAGAAAGCCAACTAAAGCCAGGCAGTGGTGGCTCAGACCTTTAATCCTAGATCCTAGCACTTGGGAGACAGAGGCAGGCAGATCTTTGTGAGTTCAAGGCCAGCCTGGTCTACAAAGCAAGTCCAAGGACAGCCAGAGCTACATAGAGAGAAACCCTGTCTCAGGGGTGAGAAGAAAACCAGCTTAAAAAAAAATTAAATAATAAAGATTTTAAAAAGAGAGAAAACCAGCAAAGAGGACATACTGCTTGTGGTCCCTGCCCCTCTGCAGGAGTCTTCGTAGAGAAGTGGAATCTGAAGTCTTAGAAGTTTGTTAACATTTATACTCTACCTCACTTAATAGGAGAGGGAAAGACACCAGCCAAGTAGCTGGCCAGTGATCTTGACCACTGAGCCATCTCTCCAGCCCTTATGTTTCTTTCTGTGATTTAGCTGGGTCTTCTGGCTCAGGACAAAAGGTAGGGAGGGGCAGAAGAAGCAGGCCTTTATTCTCAATTGTGGCCTTTGTCCCACAAGACTGGGTATGTTTAGGGGATTAGCCTGAATGTTGGCCACAGACAGATTTACTCAGTACTTTGAGAACCCAAAATTAACCTGTGGGACTTGCACAAACATTCCAAGCTAGCATGGTGTTGAGTGTTGGAAAGCCCTTCCCCCCACTTCAGGCAGGGTCTCATTGTGTAGCCCAACCTGGCCCTGAATTCACGATCTACCTCCTAATTGCCAAGACTGCGGGTATGCGCCGCCACACCTTGCTATAGGGCCCCCTTCTGATATAAACTCTGGAGGGTTTCAGAGCAATTTACCATCAACCCTTTTATTGAGCAAAGACGGAACCAACACTGGTGCCTACTCACTGCCCTCTGGCCTGCTGAATTTTGTATTTATTTCTACACGAGGCACCAACTCCCTGGCTCTCCCTCAGGGATGTTTTGGGAATGTGTGAGATTATAACAATAAATGGTTTACGGGTTTATTAACCAAACTCAACACATCTTCCAAGGCTCAAATAAAATAGCCATCTTCTTAGAAACTAAATATATGTATTTTAATCCACATAGCACCCTCAAGGGGCAGCAGTGTAAGCATTTCTGAGAAGTCTGTTGTCCAGTGATGCCCTGGGGTTCCAAAAGCTCAGATTAGTGCTGGGAAGTGGCAGGCCAGCAAGGTCTTCTAGCTACTTCCGGAAACATCTACCCTAGTGTCCTTGGATGTGAGCACTTGTGGGTAGTTAGGGCAACAGGCTGCCTGCAGAACAATCTAATCTCCGACACTAGTGCAAGGGAGCCCTGGCAGGGAAACCCCTGATCTGAAGCAGGGTGGCTTCAGGTGGGCTCCCCCAGGCAGGCACGCCTTCCTGCAGGGTCTGGGAACACTGATCACCAAGTCCAGGAAAGTCTTCCATGCCTGTATAATATTCTGATTTTCCTCCCCTACCTTCAACTTTCCCTGGCTTTGCTCTGACCCGTGGCAGTGCATACACCCCACATTACCTCCTGTGCTGGTTAATTTTAACTGTCAACTTGTCACAACCTAGGCTCACCGGGGAGGACGTCTGAATGAAGAATTATCTATCTAGAGCAGGTTGGCCTGCTGGAGGCATTCCTATGGAAGACTGTCCTGACTGTTAACTGAGGGGGATGGTACCATACCATGGGCCAGGCTCTGGCCTGTGTGAATAGAGAAAGCCAGCTGGGCACTCAGCAAGCAAGCAATTATGTACTCTGCTCTTGGTCTTGGATGTAATATATGATTGGCTGCTTGAGTTCCTGCCTTGACCTACCCAAAATGGATTGTAACTTGACCAAGTAAATCATTTCCTCTCCTATGTTGGTTGCTTTTTGTCACCGAAACAGAAATGAGTTGAATACATATCTTTCCAAGGTTACTGTGGAGGCAGCCAACCCTGCCTGGCATTAGAAAGTGCAATCACAGAAGGAATGGAACACAGCAAAAAGGAGTTTACCCAGGGAATGACGGGAGGAAGGGCATTACAAATGAAGTCCTGAGTATCTAAGCAGGGCTAAGAAGTAAGAGCAGTGTTCTAGAAGGGGGGGGGGGGAGCAGGGAAAAGACGGAAACGCATGACAGCCAGAATGGTAGGGGTGTGTGTGTGTGTGTGTGTGACAGCCAGAATGGTTGGGGTGTGTGTGTGTGTGTGTGTGTCAGCCAGAATGGTGTGTGTGTGTGTGTGTGTGTGTGTGTGTATGACAACCAGAATGGTAGGGGTGTGTGTTGTGTGTGTGTATGATAGCCAGAATGGT